ACTGAACAGCAGCATACAGTCTCTGCCTGAGGGCAGGGTGCACCATCATAGTGGTGACTTTTGATACTTCTGGCCCATTAACCATGATGCTGCCTTCCACCCCTGAATTCCATAGTCTAAGTGAACACTCTCTTTCGGCCTCCGTTGAAATTGCTGCACCATATCCATTAGCTCTGTTGGTTTGTATGGTCTAGCTGTTATGTGTAAATGTGTTTGGACAGGGGGCACCTCTGCCAGTATATCTTGTACTTTCTTTTCTTTTGGATTATAATAGGACAGAGTTCCAAGGAATCCATCATAAGTGGAACCTCTAAATCTGACTTAGTTTTTATTTTCCTACTCAACCAGGTCTGTTACTTCAGATGTATGGTTGTTATCTGTTGAACTATCGCGGGCCTGATCTATCAGGGAATGTAAAGTTGGTCTTTTCCTTTGTAATACATTAAGTTCCTATTCTAGTTTTTCAATGCAATCTTTTAATAGCTGATTTTCACTTTCTAAGATGTCAGCTCTTATCTCAGCTTGATTTAAGGCATTTAACAGTAGCCACACCACTGTGGAGGCAGCTAACTGCCATTCTTTTGTAGTTAGAATGTCTTTGCCTAATCCTTGAAAGTGTTCCATCATGTGAATGGGGAAATATTCCCCATAGCATGCAGGGGGCCACACTTCTTGACTATGGTTGCTAATTGGTAATAAGGAGAACCCAGAAACCCTGGGATCTGCCCAGGGATCATTTTATCTAAGGGGATGATGTTCTTCCCCTAATTCATTTATAGAAATTCCATAGAAAGGACATGATATGAATTTTAGTATATTTGGCTTGCCAAGTGTATAATTAATGAGTAGCCAGATGTTATAATTATGAAATTTACCAGAGAGTTTGGCTAAGCAGGTTATCATACCAGAAGAGAATAGATAGAGCACTTACCTGAGTCCTGGAGATGCTGTAAAACTCCAAAGGAGGGATCTCCAGAAGAGAGCCTTCCCTACTAGTAGTCAGCTCTTAAATGGGTCTAGGAGAGGTGGAGCCAGGCTCCGCCCCTCCCGGCAGCACAGGTGAATTGCCTTCACCTGTGCTCCCAGGGCTGACTCATTGCTCACCTCAGGTGATCAGTCAGAGGTTCAGGCTGTGATTCAGCAGTTCCCATAAAATGGACTTGCAGAGAGGAATCTCCTAATGCTGTATCAGCTCATGGGACTTGGTATTGTGTATGGTTCAGGTTTGTAAATTGAAATAGCGTATCAACTGGCTAGAAAGCAGCTTTGCATATAAGAGCTGAATGTCCTGGTAGGTGATGTTAACTGTAAAATACAAAGATGGCCAGTGGCCTCCTGGACTCCATTAGGAGGACTGCTGCCAGCAGGTCAGGATAGGTGACCCTTCCCCTTGCTCAGCACTAGTGAGAGACTTCTGAAGTGCTGGGCTGCCCACTACAAGGGAGATGTGGACACACTGGAACAAGCTCTATTGAGGGCTGCCAAATGCAATTAAAGGGGCTAGAGCTAGAGCTCTTTAGTTGTAATAAGAAGCTGAGAGCTGGGACTGCTCAATCTCAAGAAGGCTGCAGGGGATCTTGCCAGTGTTTAAAAGTACCTTATGAGAGGGAGCAAAGAGTATGGAGCCAGACTCTTCTCAGAACAAAAAGAAACAGGCACAAATTGAAATACAAGAAGCATTTAGGCATAAGAAAAATCTTTGTTGCTGCAAGGTAGGTCAAATACTAGAACAGATTAATCAGGAAAGCTGGGGTGTCTCTATTATTGGAGATAACTCAGAACTCAACTGGACAAGGTGCTGAGCAGTCTGCTGTGAGCAGGAGGGCTTAGATGATCTCTAAAGGTCCCTGCCGACCTCCACCTCTAAGTGATTCTACGACACTGCAACCCAGTAGCAAAGAGTCATTTTGCTCTCCATCTTGACTAGGGACATGTTCCACGTTATGCAATGGTAGCTTGCAAAAGAACAAGGTAGAAGGGCCCAAGGGAAATACCTGGTAAATTAGGAAACTAGCTGGAAGGTGGTAATGCATCTCATAGAGTAAATTAGTCTATGGGACCAAAGCTTTCTTGATGACAGGCAGTGACTGGGACTTTATGAATGCACTGGGGTAGAAGAGGAGTTCCAGGAAGAGTCCTGCAGGAACTGCTGATCATTCACCAAAGAAACTTCCAGTAAAAACTCTTTCTATCGCGTGGCGGAAAGAGAAGAGAGCTGTAGGGAGCCTGCTTTGCAGGGCGGGTGGACTTGATGATCTCTAG